CGAACATACCTTAAACTGGCTGGTAATTTTTACGACATTCCGATTTATGATACAGAATAACAATATCGTCTTATAATTAATAATGTTTTTTAGAAAGTAGAAAATCTACGCTGGTGTTTGGAGTAGATATTGACCATGTAGAAAGTCTAACGAAAATGTTTCAAGAACATGGGATTAATGCTTATAGTATAACCAGCAAAACGAAAACACATAAACGCGCAGATATTCTGAACAATTTTAAAGCCAAGTTGTTCCCAGTTTTAGTTAACTGCGGTAATGTGTTATCTATTTTGTGCGAATTAAGTAAGCTGCTAATTTTTATAAATACATCAATTCAGGTATTTTGACCGAAGGCATGGATGTTCCTACCATTGATTGTGTTATAATGAGCAGACCAACGAAATCACATGTTCTTTTCCAACAAATGATTGGGCGTGGAATGCGTATCGCAGAAGACAAAGAGGATTGTTTAGTCTTGGATTTCATTGATTCCTATTATAAAATTCCGGAGCTAGTTACCGCGCCGACATTGTTTGGGCTGGATCCTACTGTAGAGTTGAATGGTTGGTTTGATTCTTTAAAAAAATCATGAAAGAAATATTTCAATTGACTTATGATCTCCTAGATTACACTCCCTCAATCAAAGAGAATAAGGGTTTGGAATCTAAAGAAAAGATCAAAATGGAACAACAGCTTCTATCAGATGTAGCCGACATAACAAAGATCAAAATTACAGAATATAGTAATCCATTTGAAATTATTGAGGATTGTTCTGGTGCTACATTCGTAGGTGCCATTTCTAAATTCGCGTGGCTTAGAGTTAGTCATGATATATACGTGCTATCTTTGTACGAAATTGGCACATTAAGAGTAGAAAAAGATAATCAAGGCATGCGATTTAGTTATTTGTCGATGGCAGCATATGCTTAAATTGGCTGATGCTGAAAATTTTAGTACCACTAAAATCCATACACTCTTTCATTAACAACTCTAAATTCTAACGTAACCTCAAAAAAAAAAAAAAGGAAACTACAAAAAAAGCTAACCATTTTTTAAATTTCATAATAAAAATAGGTCAAATTTTCAGCATCAGTTGTTACATTGATTTTTGCCACAAATTGGTTGTTTATATTCACTTTCATCTTTATTTGTTTAATATAGGGATTTATCGTGTTAAGTTGCGTAAGAAGCAAGACAGATTTATAAATAATGTTCGTGTGTGTTTTAATGTTTTAGAAGATCTGCCCATACGTAGCGATTCATTGGAATCTGTTATACATGCATGTGACCAATGGGTCATTCGGGTTTCAAATAAAAGTGGCAGACATATTCGTGGCATTGCATTGCGTTATGCTAAGTGGCGTCAGAAACCTATAACAAAACAACAGATACAATGGCTAAAACAAAAGAAGATACCATTAAGTGAAGATACAATTAAGTCTATTAACAGAGGCCAAGCAACAAATTTAATGGCACGAATGCTTGAAGGTGCACAGAAAAACTGGGACTTTATCTTGAATGAAAAAGCTGTTAAAGAAAAGATTTTCCGGAAAAAAGAATCACAAAAGGTACGTGTAGGGCCTTTAAAATGTCCATAGGACTAAAGATTCATTTTTTAATGATAAACGAATTATAATGTATATGACATATATTGGCTGTACATAAAATATAAAACCAAATACATATGGCTTATTTATAGTGTAAAAGATGTACAAATCATTCTCGTTATAGTGAACCTCTTGTTATAGCGAAGAACAGTCTATATAAAAACCCTCTCGATATAGTGAATTTGCTAGTAGACTCTCGATATAGTGAAGAAAATCTCTCAACCCGATCACTTCACTATAATGAGAGTGATTTGTATTACAATTTTACATCAATTTATAACATTTGATTCTTATTTCCAAAGTGGTATTGTTAGTTCTTATTTGTTGAGCATTAGGGTTGTTAATGGGTTGGGTTGATTAATCTTTAACCCACTTCATTAAATTAGACTCGCTCTAAATTCCATTCCGGGTTGCCTATAGTCGACGTCAAAATTACAAGATCTCGCAATTCTGCATTTCCGCAATGCCGAAATACTGTAATTGTCGAATTATTGTTGATTAACAATATAGATAAATGTGGCATTGTCGCGGAATGCCGCAATTTTGCTGTAATTCTGTAATTTTAACGTAAACCATAAGGCACTAGATCTGCCCCGGGTTGCTTCAATTTATAGACATACTATTCTTAAGAATCAACGTTACCGACCCATTCTTTACTTTTTTTACTTTGGAGCGTCTCTAAAGCGAATTACTTAAAATTTTAGCTTTAGGTTAAGTTAGGGTAAGTATTATAGCAGTTTTGTATTTTTATTGTGCTTCCAGATAGATTTGGATTTGTTTTTTGTATTTTACTTAGGGGCGAGGGGGTAAAAAAGCTAAAATTATATATAAGAACCTGATTTTATATATATTAAAAAAGAGGGAGGGGGGTAAGCCTCTGATAAATAATCAGGTGATAAATGACACTGCCCTTACAATTTGATTGGATATTATAAGACGATATTGTTATTCTGTATCATAAATCGGAATGTCGTAAAAATTACCAGCCAGTTTAAGGTATGTTCG